GACTTAAGAATAAAATGATATTATTCGTTTTAAGTAGGTTTTCGTCTATTGCTAGAGCAAATATAAGGTTGCTTTATCGACAACCCCAAAATAAAAGGTGACGTGGGAAAATGTTTGGCCTTCCTTAAAATTAACATCAGCTCTACAACCCAAGGGTAGTCGTGGCAATGTGGCGTAATGGTGAACGTGTCGAGATTACACGCTGCACTGTCATGGTTCGACTCCCGCTAATGATGTTGATAACATCTAGGTGAGGTCGAAACTAAAACCCATTCTGGGTGAAAACACCTTTGGGAAAGCAAGGGTATGTAAAATGTAATGGAAGCGACAGCTCTACTCATCATTGTGGGAAAATTCAAGTACCAGTCCTTTATCACCTTAAATGAAATAGGATGAACACAACTCATAAAATAACATTCACAGTTAAGAATAAAAATATTAAAAATTAAATAGCGTTTAAAAATAACGAAAACTGTATAATTTTTTGCAAGCAAAATTTAGTTGGCATCACCTGGTAGCAATAAAGACCATAAAACTTGGGTAGGAGTGTACGCGGATGCTGAATAAGATTCATGTAATATTCTGGCAGAAGCTTTTGAAGGAAATCAGCTTCTTTATGTTGCACAGTTTTAATGATAAATTCATCATCCTGAGTGATGTAGAATATGGATCCACTGGCACCGGGGTTGGAAAGCTCGCGGAGTTCTTGATTGCACAAAGAATCCTGTCAAGTCAAAAATAAAATCGAAATTAGTGAGACCAGAATATTCTATAGTTAATTTAAGTAAACTAAGTGATAATAATTTAAGGAGATTGGATTAAAAAATAAAGGTTAATGGTTATTCCGCATATTTGCATTATATATTAATTTATAATAGCAATAGGCGATTTTAATTTTTAGAGAGTGACTCTAAAATAAATAACCTTTTGGTAAGTTCAAAATTATGCCTCTAATGATATGACTGTTTCAGTGGACATGTGTAGATTCCTGAAAAACCTATCCAAAGCATTGTTGAGGAGACTTTCATTTCATATGAAAGTGCATGAAGAGATTCGAAGGTCGATATCATCATAAGTGGACGGATGAATCCCCTTGTACTGCGGCCGTTTGGCTTATATACGATGCTCAGGTTGACACAGTCCACTAGACATCCTCCCTCGTTTCGAGTGAAAACGGGCTGAACTTTCGCCCATCATATGATGGATATCCTCAGAGCTGGAACTCATTCTTGTAAAATTATCATGTTAACACTAGATGAAGAAGACTATCTGGCTGTATATTACCTATTATATAGGCTCAATTAAGCAAAAGAAAACTAAGACATAGATAAAATAGATTGGCTTATTATCGTTTAGATTGCTCCTGCTACATTTGCTCGAGTGTGTTCGTATTGCCACCTATAGGTAACACCTGTCCTAAATAGGAGTGATCAAAAAAGCTGATATCAGGCCCTGGCCATCAAGGCTTAATGACCCAAGAATAAGCCATGACCAAGACTCCGTAAGTCCGTAGCCAAGTATGATTAAGATAATGAGATGTAAGTTTGCAAATGTGTAATTCAAGTTACGAAACACCCAGTCTTAACCTCTCAATCTAGGGTCATCAATGTTTAAACACTCAAGAAAAGACATGACTGGGGCCGTGTAATCTCGTACATCTGGTTTGGTTGATAAGCTTAATCTATCTTATTGGATGGGTGTGATTTAAGTTAGAACCATCAATGAGCGGAGAAGATGAGTCACCTTCTTTTAGATGGCGGCTTAAAACCCTCTTTCTCCTTCAATCTATAAATCAAGCATAAGTAGCTGTAATTCAACTTTCTACAGCAATTCCTCATATTCAACACCTTAAATAATCTATACATTTCAATACCCTCTTTTATCTTCCTTTTAACAGCAGACGTACAATAATCAACAAACTTACTCAGTTGAGACCATTATATCCCATGTTCAGTCTCTGCTGTGTTCGGCTACTTCTGGCCGTTGGACCCAGCTTCCTTTACAAACCAGCATGTATCACCATCATAAGGTCTACCACAGAAGCAAACAATCTTGTAGCAGCCGGATCGAGATAATGGGTCATATTTCTCTCGAAAAGCTGACATAACAGTAGAAAGGGGACTTCTTTAAACACTGTTTTACCCCTCACTTTCTCACTAATTGACCTTTCTTTTTAGAAAGAAGGCATGACGACAAAATTGGAGCACGAATGCCCTCAGCTTATTTATTTTCAAGTAAATCGTCTCCGTCTGAAAGTTTATTCCTTAGTAATGAGATATTACTAACATTCCTTGTGTGATCTCTGGATGCTCGTCCAGAGCCTGAATAGCTCCTTGAACAGGAATATTTGTGTACATAGACACAACATCAAAACTTATTAGCGAATCTCATTCTAAAGTTATTTGCTGATCAATTAATTGTACAAATTCATAAGAATTTTTAATTGAATATAGCCAAAAATTTGCAGTTTTCCTTAGTTGTGTGCATTAAAACTGTAAGGTTTCTGCATCACGCTTCCTTTATTATTTACAATTAATCTTAGATAGACAACCTCTCCGTGAGCTTTAGCGAGACCGAAAGCCGTGGGGGCCCTTGTAGTAAATTTATTTTCCACTTCTCCTTTTCACCATTATTTGCGCATACTCATCCAATACTATGATTAAAACCTAGTCTTAAGTCCTTCAGTTAGATCTTTCAGTAAAGACGTATACGTGTTAGTATCATTTAAATGAACTACCATTGTAAAACTTGACCTACCCATTACTATCACCGCTCCCTCTTTGTCGGTTATCATAACGACTGGATTATTACCACATAAATATATAAAATCCCTACTAAGAGCACAAGCTTTCTTTGGCGGAATTATATGGCCGAAATGAGGGATCACCTCCAGTTCAATACTATTCTTTACTTCCTCAGGCAATCTATCAGGTAAGCTAATTAATTCAGCAAGTATGTCCACTGACGAAAATTCAGTCAGTTTTAACCCGAAGCGAGGGAGGATGTGTCGTGGACTGCGTCAACCTGAACGTGATAGTAAAGCCAAACGACTGCAATACAACGGGATTCATCCCTCGTCCTCTGGTGAGATCAACCTACGAATGTCCTCTTCATGCACTTTCATATGAAATGAAGGTCTCCCCATCAATGTTATCTCCGAAGATTCATCGAAACCTAGTTACTCTTCGTATCTATCCAAATCAGCGATAAATCAAGTCAAAGACACTTTAAGATAAAAAGTTTATAGAAAGTTTAATAGGTTCTTGTAATAGGAAGACAAGGACCCAGAAGTCAACACGCTTGCCAGTAAAGATAAAAAATATTTGTCCTCCAAAGGGGACTTTGTAAAATTCGTCCATTTATTGGTATTAATGTGCCTAAGTAGCAAAGATTGGTCAGCATCACTTCAGGCCAATAAATCTGAAAAGACAATGGGCACATTTGTGCTAGGCGCATTGATCCACATTCAAGACAGAACAAAGCTTTTCCAAATGATTTTAAATCGGCATATTTATCGCTAAGATGCAGGCTAGTCTATCTAAACTGCGAGCATTTACTAACAAAACGTATGATGAAAAGTCCTGCACCATTTCAATGCCTAAATCAGATAACCCAAATATGGCGAGTAAAGAAAACATCTGACGGAAGCAAGGAAATGAGAAAAGCTGGTGCAAGTTACAATATTGGACAAATCGGGCGTAAAAGACAATGAATGAGTTGTCCTTTATTTAGAACTCATCAATGATTCCCAATTTCCATTTATGCTACCATAAATATATAGGTATAAATATAAAATCTCCCTATTATATAAATATAATATTATGCTCATCACATCTAATTATGGTCCAAGAATGACATGCAAATGGAAGAATAGCCTCCCAGGAAAATCCAATACTATGATTAAAATCAGTTGAAAATTAAGGAATTTAACCAGACGACGGCTGAGTCCATTTATTCTGCGGTTGCAGTCCTCGGGACATCCTCCCTCGTTTCGGATGAAAATGGACCAAACTTTCGTCTCTCATGACAGATATCGTCAGAGTTGTAACTCATTCTTTATATAGGCTTTAAGCTACCACTAGCCGGTTTTACCTTATATGATATTCACATTCTAAAGTATAAACAAAAGCATTGATATAGATAGATGCTTTTACAATGATATATGCATTTATATAAGCGGTTTGACCTAGTTTTTTGTAATTTAGCCGTGTTTTCAGGAGGGTATATATGACCACACATCATCCGGTATTCTCTGCCATATTATACATGATAACTTTCAGCGTTGAGCCGCAGCCTTAGTAGATCCACGGAGGTTTCGACGGGATCGCTAGGGTGCCTTGCCCCCCTAGCTATAACAAGTCAGAGACAAGTGAATTCCAGTCCTTGAACTACTTTCAGCTTCTTTGTGTTCTATTTTATTCACTTGTCCCATAACCTCGTATCTCCCTTTTCACTATAATAGTTTAATCCTTGCTCAATTTACCTGCTCCAGAGTTGTGCCATTTTGAGCGGACTTAGTGATCCCACTAGCCCAATCTCACCTATCACTGACTTCCTTAACTATTTAAGCAACCTAAGAAAATCCCTTATTGTGCACTATTTTAAGGCCCTAAGACATGGATTGTCTAGCATCTCTGTTAAACTAAATTCATTCTCCATGTCTACATTTCCCCATTATTCACTCACATCTATAGGCAACCTTTCAAGTCTCGCTCTGGGATATTTCATTAAAGACTTACATGTATTGTTATTAAAACAATAAAAAATAAAAACATTTTCTCTATCCAAGAAGATCACTACTGCACTTTTTTCAGCTTTCATCACAACTGGATTATGCAACATATATGTCTCAATATGCAAGATTTCTTATAGTAATAGCAATTTCTTAGTAATTAGCGCCGGCAATACACTGAGCTTGACATATTCCAGCAAACTATCTGGCAAGCGAATTAGTTCAATCGATATGCTAAGAGGATAGCTTAGGAGCATAACCATGCAAGTTCATAATAGGAGGCTCAAGAACTTTGGCATTAGAGCTTGTCCGAGGGATCTTGCATCTAGAGTATAAATTGATAAACTTAATTCTAATAAATTAATTTAAATGATATAATTCTGGGGGATGGTGCAGAGCTCCACCAGAAAAATATTAAATTCACCCTACCAAATAAAGTGAACCATTCTTCTGAAA